TATGACAAACATGATCAGGCACACGGCAGGCACACCTGGGAGGCAGGCAGATGCGCGCGAGTGAAGTCACTCCAGCAAGGCACTCCTGTTCGTTAACGCTGTTTATTAGCAATGCAGGCTGCCTCCCCTCCTCCTGCACGGCACATGAAGCCTCATTAAAGGAGAGGCAAAGCCCTCATGGCAAGGCTTGCAGTCTTTGCTTTGTCCTGCTATAGCCAGATCGCTCCGGCACAGACAGTCTATCAGCGGCGCAAGGGAAGGGTCGTCTCCCGGTTTCTGCACCAGCACAAGCTGATGTTGATGTGATCAACAGGGTCTGTCAGCTGCCTTTGACACTGACAATTCTGAGGTGTCACAGATGCCTGTGATCTGTGACAGGAACTGGTGGCCTTCAATAGCCATCCTGCTGTCAGATCAGCAGCCTTTCCAATCACAAGGCAAGCTGGGGAATGCACAAGTGATCGCTGGCAGTGAGACCCCGTTGCCTTCAGCTGGAGCATGTTTCAGAGAACAAAAGCATGGTAAGAAGACATAGGAGATAGCAACACATTAAAAATATGTATTCCCATTTTTATTTAGAAATATTAATTATAAGAGACAGGATACTAACTAGCACCACTGGTGCCTTCTCCACTGCTTGCAAAACTGTCAGGAAACAATGGCTAGACCTAAAATCAGTGAGAGCAAATCATTTTCAGCACACTGAATTGGAGACTGGACTTTTACATCTACCACTCTGCCCTAAAATTTCAAAGTCAGTTGCACACATGGTATATGTATTGATGACTAATATTTTTCCATGTCACTTCCTAAATAACTACCCTAGATACAGCCAGATATGTACGTTGTATGTTGAATTTACCATATCAACTATGTCAGGAACCCACACAAAATTGGATTAGCCCTAATACAAAGCACTGGGATGACTAATCACCACGTAAATCCCAATTAAATAAGATTATAAGTACAAAGAAGTGAAATTCCCTCTTATCAGACATTATCCATCTATATAAGATAACCAAGTCTGACTTGTTTGTCTGAAAAAAGTTGATATAAGGCTCCAGCCCTTGAAGACTTTCATGTGAGCAGCCTTTTGCCCACCCAGATTAATTAGCCTGGGAGTGACTGAGTGTGGAGGCCACAGCCACAGTTTTCACACCATCAGCCATATTCACACTGTCTTTTACCCTTCATATTGCTGCTCTGATAAACTGCATCAGATGGCAAAATGCACTCTACTGTAGTATTCTGATTACTCCAGAATTATCACTCCAATACTAATGTAGTCCAGCTGCAGACTATCTGACTGTCTGCTAGACTAGTTTCAATTAATTTACGAAGCATTTAATTGGAAAATAACATGTGAACCTTCAAATTCACTAAAAACAAAGTTAGGATGAAAGGTGATGAATGCTTGCTGAGCGCTTGGTAGCAATGAACAGGTTGTATTCCTAGGGACATTGGTAATAAGTAATTTCAACTAAGTTATTAAAATTATAAATTTGTATGCCTGGGAGCTCAGATTCAAGGCAAAAGGTGGTTCCTTCTAAGAAACATCCTAACAAAAATGTTACGAAATTTTAAATGCATCTATTTAAGTTCTATCATTAAGAAATATCTGCAAAGTCCATGTCTCCTATAGTTTTTAAATGTTAAATATTCTGTGTCATATCCTCATGTGTGATTTGACACAAGGAGACAGATCTACATAATTATTTTACAACATACTGAGTACTGGGGTTTGATCTGCACTTTAATGGCTGTCCACTAACAAGTGGAGCAGAATGACAAGATACTCAAGCTTCCATTTTTAATATGATGAAATAAATTGAGCTCATAGAACTTCTAGGAGATTAACACTGTGCAGGCACAATCCCGCCTCCACTGAATGCAAAGGCAAAATCCCCACTCAATTCACTGCCGTCAAGATCACAACGGCATTTCTCAGTATTTATTAGAATAAAGTCCATGTAATGCTCCACTGCTTGCTCTCTTTCAGACTTACATCTGATAGCAGAAAAGTGCAATTATACTAACACACTAACAAATCTGCAAACTGGCAGAGGAGAACAGCAAGTAAGCTATTTAAATGAAAACATATTGTAGTATTTATTGGTGACTGACTCCCAGATCTCTTAACACCAGTTTAAGAAAATCACCACATGTCCTCCTTGCTTTAAATGCACAGATTTTACTGCCAGCTGTGATCTTCATCAGCATATTTGATATGTGTCCTAGTGACTTTGAGGCATCATTTAACTAACACAGCTTAGACTGTTCTCAGTTTTGTAATGCTTGGCTCTAGAAAGTCCTGCCTTTCCCCTGCAATGATTTGGGCTTCCTATTTATATTTCATTAGAGAATTAAATACCACCATAAACAATGATAAATCCAAATCTCTAGTAATTTCATAAGGTTAAAACTTCTTTGAAATATTTAATTCATGCTCTGAATATTCATAAGTAGAATACTTTAGGACCTATGTTCCTCAGACTAGTTCTCACAACCTTGCTGTTGTTCTATTTATAACTCTGTTTTTACACAGAACAGGGAAAGTCAGGTATTAAGATGTAACAAAATACACGACAGATGCTCAGAGAATACTAATTTTAAAACAATTTCTAGCATTGTTTACAAAATTGTTGTGAAGTTACATTTTTAATGCCACGGATGCTTCAAAATAATTCATTTCTGTATCAGCCCCCGGTGTTTCCAGACCTGAAAAGAAAACTAAAATCAAGTCCTGACATTCTAAACTGCAATCAAATCTGCTTCCACACAGCACAAATGACCAAGTCACAACATTTAAAACGTGTATTCAACTCCACCAACAGAGTCTGTGGAGACACACTGAATTACTGACCTGCCATCCACTGTCGCAATCATTTGCTCCACAGACACTGTGAATCCCACATACAGAAAAAGCAGGAGGAACCCAACGGCAGCGTTTCTTTCCATTGAGAAGAGAGACAGTCCCTCCACACCAGCACATCTGCTCCTCTGGTCCAGCGGGCAGACAGACACCCGTGCTCTGGCTGGCAGCCTGACAAGCAGCAGATGCAGCCAATCGGGGTCGGGATTCGCTTCTCCATCGCTGCACCGGTGCCCACGGGAGAAATTCTTCGTGTGCTCAGATGTACTCTGATGGTGGACACCTACCACTGTCACGTTCCAGCCCCCTCGTGAATTAAAGATTACACATTCTGGAGAAATTGTACAGGGATGTGAGCTGTTTGCTAAGGGAAAAAGAAATAAAATCAGATGATCTCTCCAGGCTCTAAAATCACACATTTTATGTGTACTCAACCCTAACCTTAAACCAAGGTGAAGTTGCTGTTTCCAAACAGCTCTGAAATTTCTCCTTCTATATGACAGCCAAAGACCTACATGTATTTTGAAGTCTTTAGAATAGTATACTATTATACTTCACAGTAAGTTTATATTATAATATATTATACTTCACAGTAACAGTCTTATGCCCATTTTACAGATGTGAAAGCAGATATAGCAAGCTTAGAAGTCAAATATTTGGAAGTTCCCTTTCTTCAGCACTAATTCAGCTTGTACATGTCCAGCTTTCTGGCTCAATTGTTTCTATACTCGCAGCTAACCCCAAGAAAGATCACAGTTGTTAAATGCCCACAGAATTACAGTGCCTCTGTTTCTGGACCGTGTCCTGGTTTGTAGCTGGGACAGAGCTGGTTTGTTTGGGGGGTTTTTGGTAGCTAGAACAGTGCTGTGTTTTGGTTTCAGCCTGGGATTTGTTATGAGAAGAAAGTTGACTACATGCTAATGTTTCCAATTGCTGCTGGAAGTAAAAGGACTTTGTGTTTTGCCAGTCTAGGTGTGCAAAGTCTAAGGGTGGGTGAGAAATACTAAAATTAATGAGCTAGACTGGCAGTTAGATATGCCAATGAGATATTCCATATCACATAATATCATGTTCAGTACATTCATTTGGGTCTCTCCCTCGGGGGGGGGTGGTTCGCTCTCTCTCTGGCTCTCACTCTGGCTCTTGCTCTTCTGGGATTGTGGTTTCAGTTTCAGGGAATCCGAAATGTCAGTTCTGGGAACAGGCCGGGCTTGGTCAGCAGGTGGTGAGCAGCTGCACTGTGTATCACTCATTTGCAAATTATTTTATTATTATTACTTTAAATACAACTATTTAAAGAGAGAGTGAGCGAGCAGCTGTGTTTGGCTACTAGCCAAGTCCTAGCCAAGTGAAACCACCACAACTGTCAGACTGAGACATCAAGGTGCACACACATCACTGTGAAAATGGTAGGTTGGTTCTGGGACAAGTTATTTTCAAAAGATAGGTGAGCCACAGGCAGGGGTACCTGTTCTGCAGACCCTCTCTGTCCCCATCAGCCTTCTCAAAATACACATCAGCCGTGCTCATAATGGCAAGGAAGAGGGCAAGGCACATGAGCTGACTCCTCAAACCCTATGACCCACGTATGTTCTCCACACACTGCTCACTAACTGCACCTCACATTCAAAGTGTCCACACAGGGCCAGGAAAGCTGAAAGCAGGATACTTACTGGTGGACCAGGTGCAATGACAAGCGCTCTGCAGTAGGCTCATGTGCAGTCTGGCCACCTTCATGAACAGACAGGGATCTGTGATCAGTCTGGAGGGAACTCTGGGGCCAGAAATGGGTCCTTGGTACCTGCCTTCAGCCTGTGTGACTGGGCAGCTCACTCCTGAAAGGAAGCTCGGACCAGCACTTGGCTGATATATTGTCACACTGCACCCTTCTCCACTTCAAACATGAGACAGGACATAGTCACAACCTGCTCCTTCTAACAGCTACATGCATTCTCTAAATTGGAAACAAGTTAAACTTAGAATAAATACACCAGTACATGGCTCAGATGAAAATTTTAAGCAGTCCTAGAAGGAGGAAGAAGTGCCACAAATCATTCTAAAAACTGAAGCCACTCACATCACAGGCCTGTTAAACTTTTCTGTACTCCTGACCCACAGTCCCTCCTAAGGAAGTGGGGGCAAAATACACAAGAGAGGCTTTATGATGGTGCCTTGAGATTTCATTCATGTGCTGCTGTTTTCTAAGTGTTGTTCATCAGCATGGGAAAAAAAGCTAAGAAACAAAAATGCCGAAATACAAACCAGTATGGCACAAATGAACAAATAATTTTTCTCTGAGGGCAGAGAAAGTGAGAGAAAGTAGTATAAACAAGACGTGGCAGGCCACAGCTAAAGTCAGAACGGGCTGAATCCAAGATAATGTCCTGTAGCCCATCCTATGACAATAGAATATACCTTCAATCATACTCCCAGCCTGTGTGTTTCCATGGTGCTATTAATTTCTAGAGGGAACTTGGCTCCTTAGGCCACCATTTCACATCGCCAAAGAGGGGAAAGTACATGTCAGTTTGCTCCGGAACAAAAGAGGTTTTTTCAGATAACCAACAAAACATGTAACACCAAACTGCTACGTAGGTTAAACCAGTACAAACCAGTGAAAATACACCAATTTCATCATTATACACCAATACTGTGGGTGCCAGTGGTAATTCATTGATCAGCAGTCATCATCTGATATAATGGTAGAAGCAAAGAGCATGAAGAAAAGTCTTTCCTTACCTCCTGACACGTGCTAATAATAACAACAACAATAGTATTAAATGTGTGATACAGTTCTTTAAATTGTTGCTTTTTTATGAGGTTCAAGCATAAACAGACTATCGTGGCATCTAAAAAGAAATGAGATCCAGTGAAAACAAAGAAGTCATCCTTACTTCGTTCTGGTGCAAAATGATGACAAAACCACCATCTCTGCACTACTGAGTTTGAAAAGAAAACCTGAATGGAGCCTTCCACGCAGTAGTCCTGAGGGGGCATGATTAGATGAGCTCTTGCCACTCAGCTGACAAATTACTGTTGTACATTTTCCTGCTTTAGGTTGAAATCAACCAAACAAAGCCTGATCACCCACATGCTTCAGCTACATACATACACAGCGGACAAAGGGTGAGCACAGGATTGTGGGCAAAGCCCACACGCTGTTTTATGGAACACACGAGGTCACATTCAACTCCACAAAGGCATCCGATGAACCTCCTGCAGGACAAAGTGAATAGTTTTGTTTACATCCTACCAGATGGGCTAGGGTGGGCTAAAAGTGGCCAATATTCCAAATAACAGGATTAAACTGCTGTTTATCTTCTTTTTTTTCCCCCTCTGGCAATAAGTTTTTGCCCGTGATTACTGTCCTTGCAAAGCCCATCCTTTGGTGATAAAGCAGCTACCACTCAGTTGTTTTTTACTTAGTTCAGACATTTCCACGGGCAGGGAGAAAGCATAGCAGGACATATTACTGTACTTTAAACACTGCTCTTTTTTTGGATCTACCTCACAGATAAGGTAGTCAAGAAAGTAGTTGGTAATTATATTCAGTGTTAGATTTCACAGTTTTATGAGGTTTGTGAAGCGAACAATTAGAGACTGATTGGTTAGCCAGTCAATATTGCTGACATCCCACACGTGCCCAAATGTGTCACCACAGTCCAGCAAACCCCCGGTCAAACGGGATGATTACAGAAGGGTTGAAGGAGACCCTGAGATGAGGGTTGTTCTGCCTGATGCTGCAGTGATTATAGACACATTGAGTTTGCAAGCAATGAATGAGAGTGCAGACATAATTTGAAACATGGATAATTTCTCTCTTTGGCTAGGACAACAATCTATTTTCAACAGTTTATAATTACCTTCAGATCACATATCAGGTCACCATGACCTGAGCAGCTTTCTAAAATAACCTGCTGTCAACCAAAGTACGAAGTATCAGCCACTGCACGAGGTACTAGCACTTAATACATCACTACTATTTTTTTTTTACTTTGAGACATGCATTGTTCACCTGATTCAGATACATTCACAACGCACTGACAATGCAACACAAGCATGGACAGAAAATTGGCCTTAATATATAGAAAAACTGGTCTAGTGGAAGGTGTCCCTGCTCATGGCAGGGGGTTGGAACTAGATGATCTTTAAAGTCCCTTCCAACCCAAACCATTCCATGATTCTATGAAAAACCTTGTCTCAGTTCCAACAAAATCCTCTCTCTGGGCAACTAATTTGTCCTTGCAGATTTGGCCTTGCAGCCTTCATCTCCACCACGCAGACTGGGATGATGCAAAAATGAATCCTGTTACAACTTTGACTCTTTCCTGCCTGCATACTCCTTGCACCCTTTCTAACAACCCTGAAGGATGCCAACCTGCCCTGAGAAATCTCCATACAGACTCCAGGCCCTACCATTAGAAGATAAGTAGGCTCCTATTTTGAGTTGTAACAAGGTACCTGTAGTTTAGCCTTGAGAAAGTACCATGGGGCGCATCGTCTTTACCCTGTGCAAGTTTGTACAAACTACACAGGCCTTACTAACGACTATGCCCTTGGAAAGGAGCAAGCTGGATAATTGCCTGAGAAGGATGAACTCAGCAAAAATCAGCAGAATCTGGGGAAAAAGTAAATGTGGCATGGGGAGATTGAGACCACCAACTCTATGAGAGACTGAACAGACTTATTCTTCCCTCCCCCCCACCCATATTAGAGGATGTGCCATGAATTTTTTGTATTCTATACTCTTACTAAAAGGTAAGCAAGAGAAGTTTAAGCCAATCATTAAGTAGAATACTAATGCATATATATAATATGTATAATGGGTGAAACAAGTGTCATCTATTATGTATAAATGCATGAAGTTTTGCAAAGTCATTGTGTTAGATCTGTGGTCATATACCCCTAGCACCCTGCACTGACTAAAATAATGCCTGTTCTTTAATACACAACCTGTGTTAGGGAGTTTTATTACCAATTTCGGTGAAATTACAATAGCCTGTCCGTGTGGAGACTGCATCAAGGATGCAGATTCTGATTCAGGGTTACAACATTGGTGGATAAGGCTAAA